GGATACGTTATTATTTCAAGTAAAATCCATCCGGCAACGTCACAAATATAGGAATGGTGCGATAACAAGTGTATACCTATAGAAATTTTGTTACTTCATCATACTAATTTGAAGGTTTTGTTTTGGTTCAAACAGAAGCGTCGATTCCAGTTCTTAAATACAGTAGACAAATTAATTGTTCAAGAACACTTCACGAGGTTATAACAACCTCTTAGCTGATCGAGTGTAATTCAGTGATTCTAAACTAACAATGTTGCCAAGTTGTAATCATTGTACCCCACTACGCGTCGAATGTTTTAAACATATTTTTCTTTTAAAAATCTATATTTTTACCAAAACGGTCAAAAAATTCAACGTTTTTTTAGAAAATTGTATAACTGTTTGATTTACATTACATTAGTTTTTAAAAAAATATAGTAAGAACCGTTTTCGAAATATCTTGAAATAAATGCATTGCTTATGTTCATGACAGGCTTCAAGACTGTTAATTATGCACAATTTCATTGTTAATATCTCGTTTCACAGACGGTCAAAAAAATTTTTTAGTTAGGTACGTAAAAGACATTGTCTTTAACTTAATAACTTAATATTTTAATTTTATTGAATTCTTAAGAAAAGCCGTCTTGCGAATAAACTACTTTAAATATTATTAAAAAAAAATAAAAATAAATCTTGAAGCTTATTTTTAATTATATATAATATGTACCTATTTATTGTAGGTTTTTATTCGCATTTAAATTTTTAAAAAATAGCCATCTATCGAAATAAAACCATTTTAAATAAGGGATTCTTATTATTGGTATTTAAAAATATCAGAAAATGTCAATCGACGCTACCCATTTTAAATTAGTTACACCACTTCATGCATTGTCAGAATTGTTAAAATGGAGAACAAACACAATGCCATTATTTCTTCTGTTCCCTCTAACTTGTGTACGGCAAAATTTTGCTACAGTACTTTGTAAATAATAAAATTCATTAATCTCCGAAATTAGGGAGAGTATTAATATTATTATTTGTGTATAACTATTTTTGGTTGATAAATAAAATGCTTTAATTGGTCTTTATTTTATTTCATAAAGGAAGGTATGTAGTCAGAAATATGTATAATATTCTTGCTTCACATATAAAACGGGTTCTTCACAATATTTTTCTATTTTATTTTCTCCTTCGTCAAGCTTTATAGTAGGTATATTTACTCAAAATGTATACAAATTGTTTAAAGTACAAAATTAATAATCCTATAAAATTGAGTAAATAATATACAATATGACAAGCCTGTGCATGGTCTATGTAGTATCACAATACTGTGAAAAACTATTCTTACATTGAAAGTTAAAAATATACGCTATAGAACAATATTTTTAAAATCATGGCCATCCGCTTTCATCTAGTATTTTATAGTAATTAACAATATATAACCCCTTCCATACGGTACGGCACTGCTAAGTTCTCCGTTTGTATACCTTTCCTCTCTCCCCGTCTAGATAATCATTAAACCCATTACTTCCACAGGTAAGGCGTATCTATCCTAATACATGATCGAATTGTTCGACGCCCAGACCTAGAACGCGCTACGTGTGACTAAGATAGCTATTGTACAGTCTGCTAAACAAGTTATTTTAAATAGTTTTTAATATTTTTAGGTAATTAAATTTTAAAAGTGTGGAATAGTTTAGGGATTAAATTGGTCTGATTGGACTTTCTTAGAACGTTTTTAAAAGCAACTAAAGATAGTATGTAGAATTGAAAATAATTATTATGCCATAAAAGGTGTTTTGGAATTCCTTCAACCTTTTGAAATTGAGTCAGAAAATATAAATTTTATAGGATAGCGGAAAATACCTATAATTTTTTTGTAGGTCTTTGTAAATCGTGGAAATAGTTTATAGTTTATTTCTACCTTATTAAGGAAAATGGTACCTATTATTAATAAATGTTTCTGAAACATTACTAAAATTTTCGAAATTTTGTTTTTCTACAAAATAATAAACTATACTATTTAGAAAAAAATTTATTTCTCTTATAATTTAATAAAAAATAACAGGGGAATATTTACATTTCTTGATCTATTAAACAAAACGATAAATTATCTCGACGAATGACACCATGTTCTAGTACGGAAGCTAGGCTTTACATTTTTGTTGGTGGTTTCATGGGTTTCATATCAATTTTTTGTAATTGTAGTTTACACGTACATATACCTCTTAACACTTGTTTGCTTTATTAAAAAAGTGTGTTGTTGTGATTTACGTCGAAATAAGTCAAAAACAACTTGAAACCCCATATAAAATCAAAAAGGAGAAACGGAAAAAAATTGAGCCTGTAAATGAACACAACTCAGAAACAAAAATAGCTATCTAATAATAAAAAAATAAAATTTGATTCTTGTGCAGCTTCATCTATATCATTAACTGTTTTTGGTTTTTTAATGGTTTTTCTTGGTGATGAAAATTCCGATATCTCACGGTTATCGATTCTTTTTTTCTCTCCAGAAATGCGGACAGTGTTTTTAGATACTCCTGTGGCTGCAGCAACACGATCATTTACATTTTTAAATGGTATTGAAGGTGAATTAAAGTTTCCTTCTCTTCTCATAAACTCTATAACATTGGCTATTATTTCGCGAGATTGACTGTTAATCACGCGGCCTCTTAATTTGCTATTAAACTCCATACTTAGGTTCTATTAAACTGTAATGAGCAAAAAACACAAACGAAAATAAAAGAAATGTTTTAGCGAAATTTACATCTGACATTTACGTCTGAATGAAATAGTGAAATACTTGATGCGCAGAGTGTACTTTCATTGCGTAAATCCGTCGGGATGCCTGTCAGTAGTGCTTTCTCTGTCTAGCCGTCGAAAGCCTCTAGAAATTTGATGAACTGTATAGTTCATCTTTTTTGTTTCGCATCCGAAAACTATAAAGTCGCCACTATCTGCTGCCCTTAAACATCCACAATTAAGGACAGGCACAATCCTTAATAAAGTCAGTTTTAAAACGTAAACATTTGCGCATGGTCAGATGTCAAAATAAGAGCGGCACTAATAGTGACTGACCTTAAGTAAACTTGCAATAAATCTCTTATTAAGGACAGACACAATCTTTGTTAAAGTTAGTGATCTGCGCATGCTTAGATGTCAAAATAAGAGCGGCACTAATAGTGACTGACCTTAAGTGAACTTGCAATAACTCTCTACTGTATTGTCAGTATACGCAAATATCGTCCGTTAGTTCATAAAATAGTTAACGCCTTTCACGCACGGAGCGAATAATGAATGAAAATAGGCTGACTGAAAAATAAATTATGTTTTCTAATATCAATGTTTTTAGTAGAGAAAAAAGAAATTTAAAATTTGCGTTTTCCTAGTGTTTTTTTTGTGGTCATCGTCGTGTTTGAGTAAGTTTTTTTATGTTTTTGTTTTTTATTAATTTTTATTTTTTATATTATTATGTATGGCTGTGTCTTCTTGTTCATTTGTTTTTTATATCACACCTTCTGTTTGTTTTTTTTAAATGTGTTTAAGTTCCTTGGTTTTTGTTCATTTTAGTTTTTGTCTTTTTTGTTGGCTTATTTTATTTATTAGAGACAATTTGAGTATCAGTTCTGTCAAACAGGTCTGTGAAATTGTTAAGAGTTACTACTAAAGTTCCACTCCCTCTTATCTTCGCTATTCAGTGAGATATCGGAATAATTTAGTTCTGTTTGAAAATTAATAAAATTAATACTTTCTTATGATGGATTAAATTGTTCTGTGACGTCATGGCTTACTTCCGGTATTTCCGGAAATAACAGAAAATCGAATTTTTTTTAATTTTAAAAGGAAACCCTCTTTTTTATTATAAATTTAAATTTTTGGGACATTTTATATAATAATCATGTATTGACAATTTTCTGTCAGCTGTCAAAATGGCCGCCATATTGAAAAATATGTTTTCTAAATATGTTACTATTAATTCGTTTATGGAAAAACATATAGGAATGTTAAAACTTTATAAAATCTTTTTAGGCTTCAATATTCCCATTAAGACCCTTTTACCCTTAACCAGTGGCGTATCTAAGCATTTTATTATTAGCAAACTGTTTAATAATTCCATCCGCTTTTATCTTCGTTGTTAATTGAGATATTGGAATTAAAACTTATTTGTTTAAAAGCTTGGGAAAAATAATCTCATATATTGAATTTAATTGGTGTGTGACTTCATGGGTTACTTCTGTTTTATCCGAAATAACAGAAAATCTCAATTTATTTTTAATTTTTAAATAGAAACCCCTGTATTTATTTAAAATTTGAATTTAAGGGACATTTTTGGATAAGAATCATATGTTGAAAATTTTCTGTCAGCTGTCAAAAGACCATCATATTGGAAAATATATTTTTTAATATGTTACTGACAGAAAATTTTCAATACACGCTTCTTATACAAAAATGTCCCAGAAATTTAAAATTTCAATAAGAAAAAGGGTTTTCATTTAAAAATAAAAAATAAATTGTGATTTTCTATTATTTATGAAAAAACCGGAAGTAAGCCATGACGTCACAAAATAATTAAATCCATCATAAGAAATTTCTCTTTTATTTTTAATTTTCTTTGTTTTCCTACAAATAAACATTCTATTTTTTTTTTAAATTTTTCCCTTCCCTATAGAATTGTATAACGACGCCAATGTTTAGAAGTAATTACCTTTATAATATGTGTTTTTAGTTTTTTGATATATTTTCTAAATATTTAAAAAACAATTTTTCGTCGTTTCTGAAAAATAAGGTTTTTCGATTCAGTTGGGTTTTCATCTAGGGGTGTGATATCAATCTATGTCTCTCTAATTAGAACTTTTGGATGCGATTCTCGACCATATTATCAGGGCGACAAAAACATTGTTTCTACTGTCCTCTCTATATTTTTTTACTCTGAGTTTAGAGTATTTAAATATCTATCTAGTGTTATTTAGAATTTAACTGATAAGTAAAATACACCTCATTGCCTTCTTGTTTTCTAGGCACTCTGGTACAAAACGGATTACAATTGATATAAGAAATCGATACTCTCTAAAATATTCAAACTTCAATCCGGAAAAAAAGAATGTAATAATTATTCACGGATTTAATGGTACTGAAAGCCGATCTCCAATTACGATATTACGAAACGGTAAGTTAAATTTTCATTTCCTCACAAAAAGTATACAGGTTTTGAAATAATGAGCAAGCCTTTGTTGTTACAAATTCAACAACTATTAGATCATTCCGGGCGAATTTCTGAACAGACTTATAGGCTTGTCTAAAAAATATTTAATTTTGATAGCTATTTATGCAACCCGTTTCGAAACGAATGATTCTTTGCGGGACGAGCAGAACGAGATCCCACAAAATAAATAAGTTACACAAGATGGCATACAATTATTTTTTTTCTAGTTTTAACTAGATTATTTATAAAATTGCGTTTGATAAAAAATTACTGGCTTCTATGCAACCAATATTACTTTCTTGTATTGATAGTTACATATGCATAGCCTTATTCATTCCATTGACAAATAGAATATCATTTAATTGTAATTTATTCTGAACGACTTGTAGTGTGTTTATATTGCTTGTTGAAGTTATTTAGATTTAAAGAAAATGGGTTATATTGTCGCCTATTCTGTTTTAATTATTTTTTGCTCATTTAGAATGAAAAATAAGGACCAAAACAACATTGTTGTAAGTTAAACCAAATTCTATTTTTATAAGTCAACCTACCCTTCTTCGATATAAACTTTCAACAGAGTTTCGTAAGATTACAAGAAGGAACGATCTCTTAAAAAGGGGACAATGTAATGCAAGTCATTTTAGACCAATCGGTCATGCACTAATCCTTTAAGAGCTTAACGTGTTTACCCGAGTTAACTCGGGCCAGTCCATACTGAACGTTCTCGCTCAACCGAGTTAAGTCGGGCAAATAATAAATTGCACATATATCGCGCGCCGGCCTGTAGCGACACTCCGTGTCCCATCGCTTTCGACATATAGTTTTCTACAATCGATTTCTACTGTAGAATTCTATAAACGCTTTGCCGGTACTCCGTGTGACAGTCGATTCATGGATGTCAAAACCCGAGGCAAAACATCGGACATTCTCGGAGGTTTACTAACCGATCTAAAAATGTTTGCATGAATAGAGAGATTTGTTACTTTTTGTCAAGTATGTCAATTTCTGACAGATAAGGTGCCGCATTGGTTTTGACAGAGATAAGGGACATAAAGATTGGAAACGCAACGACCACATCAACGATGGCGTCATCTAGCGTCTCAGATGTTAACTACAGGTCTACGTCGTTTGTAGAGAGACCAATGTTGCCAAATAATTTTTTGGGGAGATCGTATAAGTAGAGTAGAGAAATGGTATTTCGACAAAAAAATGTACAATAGATACATGCATAGCATAATATAACTTAAATGGAATGAAAAAATAGCTTTGACATGATATTTATCTATTTATAAAACTGTTTACAACGAAAAAAAACTAAAAAAAATACATAAAACTTTAAATTAACACATTTAAAGTATTCTATGACTGTCACTTGAAAGTGATTGAAATTTTGCATGCAAGCTTTTCTTATGCCGTGATAGTCGGTGTACAAAACCACCATGGTCAAAATCACGATAAGTCAGAACGAAAATGACTGCCTTCAGAAATTACGAACGGCCTAGGAAATCTTTGCAAGTAGTTTTTGATTTTTATTGTTTTATATTCTGAAGTTGTTGCAGATATTTAAATAAACCTACTAAAAAAGTGAAGATCATATTTTTACGTACGATCTCACTGATGCAATCGTACATCGTACAGAGAGTTAAAAAATCGTAAAAATACGATTTAAATCGTACGGTTGGCAACACTGAGACAGATAGTAGACGTGGACAGTTTGTAAATATAAATGTCAGTTTTATGTATATCGAAGAATCCTGAATTTAAATTTTAAATTTTGAGTTCATGATTGTGTTATCCTCTAGATGAACTTAGTGAAATAGTTGTGGCTGTTTTTGTGTGAAATTTAAGGACAATAATTATATTTTGTAATATTACAATAAGTCGGAGAACGTATTGCATTAGTAACACATGCCACATGAACAAATTTAACAACCCCAATGTGGCGTTCTTTAATTAACCAAAGTAGGTAAGATCTATTTATGTAAGTAACACAAATAGTAATCAACTTTTGTCACAAAGTAGGTGTTTATGTATTATTTATTGTTTTAGAACAAGAAAATGGCTTCAAAGCGTTAGAAAGAAGATTTGATATAGGAAGAAAAATATCTGAATTCCCATTATTGAATTTGCACTCAACATTTTTAAATAAGATACCAAAATAAAAACAAAAATGCAGTGTTACAAATAACAATCAAAAATTAAAAAATATTTGTCATGAATATAGATTTACAATAGTTAATCGATAATAGACTGTAAGTGTAGCATTCTTTTTAATAAATAATTTATCATAATAACATTGTTTAAGTTTATTTACAAGAACATGAGAGTGCAGTCGATATTTATGCAATCTTTATTATCAGGTTTTTAAATTTCCCGCTGCGTTGTTTGATATCGATGAAAGCGCCACATAGTGGGTCAAATGTTAACTGCGATAAAGCTGGTCGTTGTTAAGCATTGGCTTCTTATGGGCGTTTCCTATCTTTATCTCCCTTATCTCTGGGTTTTGATTTTGAGTTTGTGTTATCTAGTTTTTGCTTTGATTTGTTATAATGGTCCCTTTGTTTGTGGTCAATATATTAGCTGCTGAAAAGGAGTAACAACTATAACATCTTCGTTTGGAAAATATAGATAGGCTAGTAATGAGAGAGACAAGCGATCCATTCTCTATAGAAAATGTAAGATTTGTAGAGTTATTTCGATTAAATAAAGATATGTCCCAGTATAAAATGGAATTACGTCGAGAGCCGAAAACGGCCATTATAAACAACTTCTCAGGGGAATGGATTCGGTTTCCTAGAACTCTACAGGAAAAACAACAAATTTAGTTATGTTTTATAGAAGCAAGAAATTTTCCAGGGATAATTGGAGCAGTAGATTGTACCCATGTTGAAATCCTGCGACCAAATGAAGAGAAAAATTAGTGAATCGGTTTTTTTTTTGGAAAAGGGCACATCTACTTAAATTTAATTCATTTGTGACCTTTTCCAAACTTATTTACAATAAAAGATTAAAAATAAAAATCTGATACATTATTTATTAAACATAGTTTTACAATGATATAAGTTTGGAGACCGCTGTCGGCAGTCAAGTATCATGCTGTAAAATTATTTGTTTTATTGGGGAATATCCTGGATTAAGGATTTAAAATTATTATCTTTTTTATACTGATGCTGTGGCTGTATGTGCCTCTTCAGGAGGAAGATTCGCCTTGGACCTAGCAGATTTTGCTGTTAAAAAAATATGGCAGAATAAACCTATTATAATGTTTACACCACACACCACAATAAAAAATTCACTTGATTTAACAACAAAGCTAATGGCTTTACCGTAATTCTTATTTTTACGTTTGTTACTTTTTTTTCATTTTCAAATTAAATCCAATGTCATATGTTTTAAAATCAAAACAAAAATGTATGACGGTTTGCCTACTTTCGTAGAAAACTATATGTCTTGACGTCTCGCTTCGTGTCGACTCCTGGCGATTATTTGGAGACACGGAGTGCCAATCGATAGGACTGAAGCCTTGAAGCGACCGGTAGAATTCTTTATGACGCGGAGTCTGGTAGTGGGGTCTGTGTGGTGTTCGGCTATTTTGAAGGTCAGAAAATTTAGTATAAAGGTACCATTTCGGTAGGCGCGACAGACGACCGCCGACGCGACATACGACCGCCGACACGACTGAGAAGTGTCGCTTTCCATCTAAAATACATACAATTATATGAAACACATTTCGCATGGCGCGACACGACCGAGAAGTGTCGTCCTGAAAACACTTCTCGCTGCAAAGCTTTACTGCGTATCGTACTCGAGGTCACTGTCCTTGGCATCGCTTTTTTTGGGGTGATTCGGTCGGAAATTTCTTTCGATCTAGGCAGCGTTGCCAGATTTTAAAGTATGGGTAAAAAAAAACCGTAGATCTGAACAGTAGATTTTAATACAGGGGGAAATAATTAAAATTTGCAGTGTAGTAAATAAAAAAACAAGTATATAAGAAACGAAAAATAAACTTTTTGTCGACCCAAATTAGAAGGTAAACAAAGAATAAAAACAAATAATAACATTTTTAATATATGCTTAACGTACGAAAACAAAAAAAGAACAATGAAAAATAATAGGTACCTACTTCTTTTAGTTCTGTCTGAATCAGATAATTCAAAATCGTAGTGTGCGTGTTCTTTTTATGATGCCCTATTAATTCTTTGTTTCATTTTAAATAAAAACAATGATTATTTGATGTTTTTTTGTTTATGGAGCCAACCTAGAGTAGTGGATGCTTATTACGCTGCTTTTACTGCAGAAAATTTACTAGAGAAAATATTCTTTAATCATTTGCTGAACAAAATTTGCTAGAGACAAAAACAGTGGATCTACATGAAAACAGTTGGTCTGGCAACGCTGATCGTTTTCTCGAATGGTTATCCTGTAACTGTCGCGCGACACTTCTCAAGCTTGCCAAATGTACGAAGCGTAAAATTTATGCACCTGTTGTCCTACTCAACCTTGGGGTCGGTTCAGTGGTCGCTTGTCGTCTGTCGCGCCTACCGAAATGGTACCTTTAGAGTATACGCTGCGTCAGGCGCTTACCGCTCGCAAGTGAATCGATATTAGTGTTGGCCAGTGACTGAATTTGTTTCTAGACTTTCGAAAAGAAAAGTAAAGTGAATCGATATTAGTGATTGCCAGTGTCGGAAAAGTAAGTACCTACCTGCCCATTTGTTATATGCATATAGTTTTAAGCTAAGAAAAATTAAACTTATCGTCCCTACTTTATTTTTATTACCTATCTAATTCATTTAATTATTGCGGAGTTTTAATATCAAAATATTGTTTAAAATTTTCTATAGAATTTACAGAAATATATTAAAATATAATAAATGAAATAATAATTTAATATCATGTAATGAAGTCAATTTTTCCTCAATCGGTTTATTTTAATTTTTCATTTTTAATAAATATTCAACGCG